GCCGTAGCAGGCGTGGCAGTTTCTCGACGCCATAGTGGGTGCGCACGGGGTGGTCCCCCTATCCGCGCCGGTCGTCCAGGCCGCAGCAGGCGTGGCAGTTTCTCGACACCATAGGGGGTGCGCAGGGGGTTGTCCCCCTATCCGCGCCGGTCGTCCAGGCCGTAGCAGGCGTGGCAGTTTCTCGACACCATAGGGGGTGCGCAGGGGGTGGTCCCCCTATCCGCGCCGGTCGTCCAGTCCGTAGCAGGCGTGGCACTTTCTCGATACCATAGGGGGTGCGCACGGGGTGGTCCCCCTATCCGCGCCGGTCGTCCAGGGCATAGCAGGCGTGACACTTTCTCGATACCATAGGAGGTGCGCAGGGGGTGGTCCCCCTATCCGCGCCTGTCGTCCAGGCCGTAGCAGGCGTGGCAGTTTCTCGACACCATAGGGGGTGCGCACGGGGTGGTCCCCCTATCCGCGCCGGTCGTCCAGGCCGTAGCTGGCGTGGCACTTTCTCGACACCATAGGGGGTGCGCACGGGGCGGTCCCCCTATCCGCGCCGGTCGTGCAGGCCGTAGCAGGCGTAGCAGTTTCTCGACACCATAAGGGGTGCGCAGGGGGTGGTCCCCCTATCCGCGCAGGTCGTCCAGGCCGTGCGTGGCAGTTTCTCGACGCCGTAGTGGGTGCGCACGGGGTGGTCCCCCTATCCGCGCCGGTCGTCCAGGCCGTAGCCGTGGCAGGGGGTGCGCAGGGGGTGGTCCCCCTTCCGCGCCGGTCGTCCAGGCCGTAGCAGGCGTGGCAGTTTCTCGACGCCATAGTGGGTGCGCACGGGGTGGTCCCCCTATCCGCGCCGGTCGTCCAGGCCGTAGCAGGCGTGGCACTTTCTCGACACCATAGGGGGTGCGCAGGGGGTGGTCCCCCTATCCGCGCCGGTCGTCCAGGCCGTAGCAGGCGTGGCAGTTTCTCGATACCATAGGGGGTGCGCACGGGGTGGTCCCCCTATCCGCGCCGGTCGTCCAGGGCAGAGCAGGCGTGGCACTTTCTCGACACTTAGGGGGTGCGCAGGGGGTGGTCCCTGAGCGCGGCCGCTATCCGAGACGGTCGTCCAGGGCATAGCAGGCGTGGCACTTTCTCGACACCATAGGGGGTGCGCAGGGGGTGGTCCCTGAGCGCGGCCGCTATCCGAGACGGTCGTCCAGGGCATAGTAGGCGTGGCACTTTCTCGATTCCATAGGGGGTGCGCAGGGGGTGGTCCCTGAGCGCGGCCGCTATCCGAGACGGTCGTCCAGGGCATAGTAGGCGTGGCACTTTCTCGATTCCATAGGGGGTGCGCAGGGGGTGGTCCCCGAGCGCGGCCGCTATTCGAGACGGTCGTCCAGGGCATAGCAGGTGTGGCACTTTCTCGACACCATAGGGGGTGCGCAGGGGTTGGTCCCTCACCGCGGCCGCTATGCACGACGGTCGTCCAGGGCATAGCAGGTGTGGCACTTTCTCGACACCATAGGGGGTGCGCAGGGGGTGGTCCCTCACCGCGGCCGCTATGCACGACGGTCGTCCAGGGCATAGCAGGCGTGGCACTTTCTGGACAAAATAGGGGGTGCGCAGGGGGTGGCAACGGCCACCAACATCATTCTTACATGCTTCACTTAAGCTATCATCACTCCAGCCATAGTATAAGTATGTGGGGTTCCTCGGCAGCGTATTTTTTTTTGTTTTTTGCTCATGGGGGAGAAACGCATGAGCATGTGCTTCTGGAGGTCCGCGCGGAGTTCTCGGATCGGCGCTGGACCCCCCGCACTCTGCTGCCACGAAGCAAGGGGGGGCTTGAGGGACACGGGTCCTGATCTCTTGACTCGCCAATTCTGACCGCCCTGGGCCCTCCCTGGGCCCCTGGTGTGTCCGCAAGCGGCTTAGGGCGAGAGACCCAGGGTCAAGGACCCGTTTGCTCTGTGCCAGGGGAGGCCAGCGCCAGTCCAGGAGCTCCGCGCGGAGCTCCGAGAGTTTATGGTCATGCCTTATGTCTTCCCTGAGATCCGACGTCACGAACACATTCGCCCGACGAAGAACCCAGGCCTATCTAAGCGAAGGGCAATTATGAGCAGGAGGGCTCAGTGCACAAGAATACGCTGAAAGATCTGCAGTACCCCGGACAGCTTCGCCAACCACAGTCAGACCGCGCACAAAGTCCCCCTTGCACGCGTGAGAAACGTGTCGAGACGGGGGCAGGGATCGGCACGCGAGCACCTGCGCTGGGGCCACAAGTGTCCCTTCCTATCAGGGACGCTCGGCGCCAGGGGTGTGCCGAACTGTGCGCGGGGACGCCACGTCGACACTCCCACTGGAGCAATCCTTTGGAGCTTCCTGTGAGGCAAGAAGCGCGTGAGGGGTGTGCCGTGACGGGTGCGGGGACGCCACGTGGACCCCCCCCCGCGCGGGGCCACGAGCGGAGCTCCCTGTGGGGGGGCAAGAAGCGTGCGAGGGGTGCGTGCCGAACTTGGCGCGGGGACGCCGCGCGGACACCCTCCCTGGCGCCATAAAGCGGAGCTCCCCGGGAAGCAGGGGAGCGCGCGGAGGGTGTGCCGCAACGGGTGCGGGGACACCGTGAGGACCCTCCCCACTGGGGCCACACGCGGAGCCTCCTGTGGGGCAAGGAACGTGTGAAAGGTGTGCCGCCATGGGCGCGGGGACACCATGTGGAAACACCCGCTGAGGTTACAGGTGGGGATCCATGTTGGACTAGCAAACATTTTTTTGGTCTGCGGGTCGAGAGCGAGCCTCTTCCGGTTAAAAGCTAGGCGGGCCACGCAAAGCTCTAATTGGGGAGACAGACAAGGGACAAGCAAACGTGCGAGGCATGTGCCGACATGGGTGCGGGGGCGCCACGTGGGCACCCCCATTGGCGCCAGAAGCGGAGCTCCCTGGGGGCCATGGAACGTGGGGTGGGTGTGCCGAAATGTGCGCGGGGGCGCCATGTGGGCACCCCCACTGGGGCCTCAGGTGGGGGGAGCTCCCTGTGAGGCACGAAACGTGTGGGGGGTGTGCCGAAATGTGCGCGGGGGCGCCATGTGGGCACCCCCACTGGGGCCATATGTCGAATTACCTGTGGGAGTTGGGGGGGGGCAGCTCCACGCTGGCCCAAGAGATAGGGTCGGCCCATGTTGGAGGCGTGGTGCGGCAAGTGTCGACGAAGGTGCGGGTCAAGATGTCGTCCGCGAAAATGATGGAGTACGACCTGCTGCCGTTGTAGCTTTTGACCACGGTACCCTCGCGGGAAGCCGTGGGAAGCGACTGCAGCAACCCATCGCCGTGGCGCTTGAGCACCGTCGCCATCATGGGCCTGGGGAAACCGGCCACCCGCCCCTTGCAGCGGTTGTCGGCTGGCGGAAGGGACCCGCGATGAGGTGGAGACGACGCCAGAGAGGAAGTGGAGGAAAGCGAACGCGCCAGATCCTGGTACCCGCCCCAGGAGTCGGGCGAAGCGGGGTGAGGGAAGGCCTGCATGACCCGCCTTGAACTGGAGAGCCAGGATCTTCGCGTCGACCTTGGCCATCACAGTGGCCCCATGGCTGCATCCACACCCTTCTTCATGGAGGTTTCGAGCTGCGCCACGCGCTCGGTGAGGTTGGTGATGGCGGCGTCGTGACGGTCCACGGTGCTCTGCAGCTTTTTGGACTCTTCGTGCCCTCCTGGAAGACCTCCTTGAGGCCTTATGGGCTGTCTTGGAGACCTCTTGGGGGCCTCTTGAGCCGTCTTGGGCCATCTTGAGGCCATCTTAGGCCGTCTTGGATGCATCTTTGGCCGTCTTGGAGGCATATTGGGGCCATCTGAGCCGTCTTGGAGGCCATTTCAGCCGTCTTCGAGGCTCTTGAAGTCGTCCTTGGTGGCCGTGGTGTCGATCTTCCAGTTGCTGCTCCAGAGCAGCGCCACCATGCCCGCTGCTCCGTCGTCCACTCCATCGGAGGGGTCCTCGAGCGCCCGTCGCTTCGCGGCGCTGGCGGCAGCGTCGCCTGCCACCCCGGTCGCCCTCTTCTGGGGTAGACGGCTGGCAGCCTCGGCCCAGGCATCGGGTGGGCCATCAAGAACGGCCGAGGGCGGGCCAAAGGAGACTGCCGCCGCCGCCATCTCCGCAGGTCCCGCCGCGGGCGCGGGCGCTACCGGAGCCCGCGTCTTTGTCCTTGTCCCTCTCGACAGTCTTCTTCACGCCCTTGTCCTTGGGCGCCATCGCGGGATCCACGGGCGTGACTCGGAGTGAAATGGTGGCACTCGTAGCGCTTGACGCTCCTGCGAGGATCGTGTTGGTGTGTTGCTTGAACCAAAACGGCTTGAGCCAAACTGGCTACGGATGATGATGATGATGCTGATGATGATGATGATGATGATGATGATGATGATGATGATGATGATGATGATGATGATGAGGAAGAGGAGGAGGAGGAGGAGGAGGAGGAGGAGGAGGAGGAGGAGGAGGAGGACGAGGAGGAGGAGGAGGAGGAGGAGGAGGAGGATAATAAGGCGGAGGAACAAGAAGGAAGGAGTGAGACGCGTGGCGCTGCGAATTCAGAACGAGGGCCCGACACACAGGAGGGTTGGGAAACAAAACATCGTAAACAAAACTCGACTGGAGCCCTGGCCTCCATCTTTCTGCGCTATGTCTCGAGCCAGATCGGTCCGTGAGGGTCTTGGGGGCCGGGACAGGGTGAAATCGCGGGCTGTGAACAAAATTGCGACGCCAAGATCTCAGGACTCTTCCCCGGCGCCTGGCCCCACTCCTCCTCGTCGTCGCCGTCGCCCCCGAAGCCCCGGAACTTGTCCAGGTCCCCGTTGGTCTTCTTCTGCGTGCAGTGCTCGGGACAGGTCGCGTGCAGCGCCTTTCGATGATGCTCAGAGTGTGAGCTCTCGGCAGCGTGCGCTTGCCCAGCAGAAAGCCCTTCGCCACGACGCAGGCGGAGCCACGAGGGCCGACACGGGCTGCGTGCTATCCGAGGAGCTGGCCGGGACAAACACACACATTGAGCCAGAACACCCTCTGAAGATCATCGAGCCTTGCTCCTCAAAGCCAGTCCACGGACCCCTCCCAGGGCCCAGCCGTACCACTTTTCGAGCTGCGCCCAGCCGTGGCGACGAGGGCCCTCCCCGAAATCCACCGGCCGCTGTCTCGAACCTCGCCCTCCTTTGAGCCTCGTCAACGACGACGACGAAGACGACTGAGCCTTCTGGACGTCCTCGAACGTCATCGCCCCGCCGAGCGCGGTCGGATCCGCGATGACGCCCGAGCCCTTCGAATACGCGTCGCTGCACGCGGCGCACTCGTCGTTCTCGGCGAGGATGCTGGGCTTCGCTCCAGCACCCAGCCGGGGCGACACTCCCCTGGGGCAGGGCACCAACTGTCCCGAGAGCCAGAACCACGAATAGAGCTGCCACGTCGTGACAGCAGAGCTCGCCTGGAGCCCCTGGTCGAATCATCTGCGGCATGTCTAGGCGTCGCTTCATGGGGGCCGATACATGCCGGGGGGAGGCAGGTGAACTTTTCGGGCCTTGAAGGCCCCCTTTTGGTCCTGATGGGGCCCTAATAGGCCCTGCTACAAGTACACAATCTGCATACTACTTTCCTATCTCCCCGAAGACGCTGGTGAGGTGTCCTGGCCTCCTCCGCGTATGGTCTTCATACACATAGGATGCCGCCGAGTTGAAACTTGATGTGCTTTTTCCAATCCGAACATGTTCAGTCTTTTCAGAATGGCGCGCGCTCCCGCTGCAGCGTTGGCTCCATTTTCCCGTTCTCAATCCTTCCAAATCATGTGCCAACTGCAGCGCTGACCTCATTTCATCGTTTCGGTTCATCCAAATCGTGCTCCTGCTGCAGCGTTGGCTTCGGTTCCGCGCTTCCAGTCCTTCCAAATCGTGCTCCCACTGCAGCGCAAATATCATTTCAGCGGTATCGGCCCTTCGAAATCGTGCTCCCTCTGCACCGCTGATATAATTTTGCGCTTCCCGCTTTCCAAGCAGTCCATTTTAATTGCCCGTCCTGTGTCATTTCTGATTGCCCTCTGACCTTGTTGTCGAAATGAGTCGCGTTCTCGACGCGACGACGTCGGCTGTGGCTGTGCTTTTCTATGCCGTGCTATGTCATGCTATACCATCTCTCTCGGGGTCAGTGCCCTGTTCGACATCCGACTGTGCGAATAGAGAGGAGATCTACGCAACGGTGAAGGATGGGAAGGAAGGGTAGGACGTCAGATATGACGCTTGCGCGCCTAGCTGGTCTGCAACCCTCGCTGCCGCCCAATGTATCGCCCCCCCATGACGCGACGCCCAGCAAGTCTCGAGCCGTGTCCATCCGTGGGGGTCCGCGGCCCGAGACGAGGCAAAGTCGCCTGTTGTGAACAGATTGCGACGGCAAGATCTCTTGCCGTCGCTCGGACGTCCATTTCCCGTGCATTTCTCGGTTTCGTGCGTGCTTTTTTCGCTCGATGATCCAATATGTTTTTCAAGGGTCCTCGCCGAGGAAAAATACACACGTCCAAACGATGCCAGGATCTCAGGGACTGTACACCTGCACCGGAGCTGACCAGGCACATGCTGGGCCCAGGACCGATGCAGATGCCTTCCTGGCTCGGCCAGGAGGGCGAGCAGTAGACACATACGATAAGATTTGTCTTGCGATGCGAAATCTTGGGGCACGTGCCTGGTCGATCTTGGAGGGTCCTAGGGTGCCCCTTGCGATACAGAATCTTGGGGCACGTTCTCTGTCGATCTCTGAGGGTCCTGGGGTGCTCAGGAGCTTCTCAGGGTCCCTGGGGCCATCGGGGGCTGACACAGAGGCGGAGGAGGAGGGGAAGGAGGAGGAGGAGGAGAAGGAGGAGGAGGAGGAGGAGGAGGAGGAGGAGAAGGAGGAGGAGGAGGAGGAGGAGGTGGGGCACCTGCTTGCAGGCGCCCACAGGCCTAGGACTGGCGCGTACGCCCTCCTGGGTTAGGCTAGGAATGCGTACCCTGGGATCCCGGGTCGCATCGTGTCGCAACGGGCGATTCTGCCCTGCTTCGGGCCCACGGGCCCTCTCGGATCCATCCGGCGCGACAAGGGCAGCAGACAGATGGGGTCCAGGGTTCGGGTCGAGCTTGTTTTGTGTTTTTGTTTATGGTTTGGTTTTTGTTGTTTGTTGTGGTGGTTGTCGCTGTTGTTGTTTTTGTTGTTGTGGTTGTGGCTGCTGTGGTTGTTGCTGTAGTTGTTGCTGTTGCTGTTGCTGTTGCTGTTGCTGTTGCTGTTGTGATTGTTGTTGTTCTTGCTCTTGTTCTTGTTCTTGTTGTTGTTGTTGTTGCTGCTGCTGCTGCTGCTGTTGTTGTTGTTGTTGTTGTTGCTGTTGCTGTTGTTGTTGTTGTTGTTGTTGTTGTTGTTGTTGTTGTTGTTGTTGTTGTTGTTGTTGTTGTTGTTGTTGTTAATGAACTATTTCTAAAGAATCATTATTGTTGATGCCCCCTTCGGGGCACATGGTGTTTTCTCAATCAAAGTGCTCCTCCTGGGGCTCGCGCCCTGTCTTTACATGGGAAAGCGGGGGGGCACCACATCTGCCCCCTGGCCCCCGAGTTACAACAATAACAGCTCCCGCCTGATACTTCCTCACAGTGTATTCCACATCGTGCTCTCGCGCGGGACTTCCTCACAACTTATGCAGGAATCGCGCTCTCGCGTGGGACGTCTTCGTAATCTATTCTTACGCTGCGCCCTCGACACTCAGGAATCACGCTTTCGCTGTGGCCTTTCACAATATTCACTTGGTACTCGCGCTATCGCTCGAGATTTTCTAGCGATTCATGCAATACTCACGGTTCAGCAGCACGCTTCTCGACCTGACGGCTTGGGCCCGCCTTC